GCACCAGCCTAAGTCTCTTGTCCTTCTAAATTATTTTATGTTTTTATTTGGAAGCCTTGAACGTTTTTCTTTATATTCAAAATTTACCATAGATCTCTATCTTGGTCACTGCAGATTAATTATACCTACATAATATACAGTCTTTCAATATGTACATTCTGGTTTTTAATTTTTGCAAATTTCCCACAGAATAAGTTTAAATAATTGTGCTCCATTGTTTTGTGTAGGGACACCATTTATAAATATGTTGTGTCATCTCTATCTGCCTTCTATTTCAACCACATTCTCTTTTACTTTTTTCTTTATATCACTTCCATAGGCTTTGTTATTTTCCCATCTGTGCTCCATGTCCTTCAAATGTCCATTTGTGTCCTCTTCATCCTTTGTACATCTTACAATTTAGTGTTTAGTTTAGAGTTTAATCTTTTTCTTCCTTCTTTCATCAGCTCTCATAATTTCTTTCTATATTCTCCTTGATGGTGTCTGTTTTAAAATTTTGTATTTCGAATTCAGGATAGTTTTTCATGTGTGAAAATAGTTATTTTATCTTGAGAATTTCTTTGTAGTTTTCTTTTGCCCTGCCCCCTCCCAGTCCACTTTTGTTTTCCTTTGAAGAAAGTTAGGGTTAATCAACTGAGCTATTTCAGTTCTTATTTTGATTCTCATTTACTCTGTGTTCTTATTTTAAGTTTGTTTACAGTTTGTATGTTTTCATTTTTTATACATTTGATATGGTTTATAAGATAATGAGTTCTGGGTGTTTTTCTATCATTGTAGCAAAGTACAAGTTCTTTTTTTTTTTTTATAGCCCCTACAAGTTCTTTATTGGGTTATTTGCGTGTGTGTGGGGAGGGGGTGGGGGTGTTTATGATTGTATGTCTTTCAATTTTTCCTCCTAATTCTTCTCCTTCAACATTTTAAAAAAGAAGTACTTAATAGCTGGCGTGTGGCATTGTTAGGTGCTATCAAGTAGGTGTGGGCGCATAGTGACTCTGTGTGACAGATTAGTACTGCTCTCATTTCCTAGGCTGTATTCTTTACAGGAGCAAGTCTTTCTCCTGAAGTATCAAGTATCACTAGGTGAGTTCCAACCAATATTTTGGTTAGCATACCAACTGCTTAGCTGTTGAGCCACAAGGGCTCCTTGGGTGGCTTATCTGAGCCCTTAAATTAATTTCATCATTAGTCCACTGAAGAGGAAGTCAGAGATACCCATGGGATAATTGAACACATGCTACTGCTGGGCTGAACATAATTTCATGTTCGCTAATCTATTTTGTCATCCAGTGTATTTTTCTTTTCAGACCTTGAATTGTTCATGTCCAGGAGCCCAGTTTTTATTTTTCTCTCTCTTCTAGTCCTTTACCTAACTTTTGAACATATGGTACAATTACAGTTTGTTTTGTAATAATTTAGTAGCATTAGTGTCAGTTTTGAGTCAAGGGTAGATAGCTTTTTCTTCTTTTTATAGGTTCTTTATTTCTGCTTATTTGAATGTCTGGATAGCTGTTACTGGGTACTGACATTGTTAATCTTATCTTGTTGAGTACTGAATACTTTTGTATTCTGATTAATATTCTTAGGACTATGGTATTCCAGAGTTTTGCTGATGCTTTTAGATCTTCCTTTAAAAATCTGTTCAGCTCGAACAGCAGTGTTCAGTGTAGAGCTAATTATTCTTAATTAGTGAGGGCTGCGCCTATTGAGTACTTTACTCAGTGCATCAGGAACCATCGTTTGTAGCCTTACTGGTAAGTACAGACAATATTCTGGTCTGTGGGAGCCAGCCCTCACACTGATATGGTCCTAAGGAGTAGTTGTGTAATTGAAGGGAACAGATAAAGAGAGACAAAATTTTAGGAGTGAGAAACAGGGAATGTATTCTTTCATGAGTATGTATAGTCAATCACATATGTAACAAGGTGGGCAGTGTCCTAACCCTAGAGGTCCCTGAGCTCATTGGAGGAGAAACTCAATACTATCATTGGGGGTAGACAGAGGAGAGTCAACTGCCCCTTGAGCAGGGAGAACAAAAGAAACATGTCTGCTCCTATAGATGAAGGCCTCAGGTAATATAGTAATAAGAGGTAGCATTAAGGTAGCACAATCATAGGGGGATATTGTGGGGATGATTTTTAGACAGGAGAATGTGTAACTGGGACTCATCTCTCCTACTCACAAATGTAAAGGCCTCCATCCACCCAGAATCCTGGCCTTCCAGGCTTCTTAATCATGAGCATAGAGAATGTGTCCACATAACATTCTCTTCCTGGTCCTCAGCTTCCCACACTGGTCCTTTGTGAGTGCCTGACATTGTTACTTCGAATCTCTCTCTCTCTCTCTTTTAATTAGAAGATCATTTTATTGGGGCTTCATACCACTCTTAACACAAGCCATACATTAGTTGTATCAGGCATAGTTGTACATATGTTAACCATCGTTCTTTTCTAGACATTTACTTTCTATTGAGCCCTTGGCATCAGCTCCTTTTTTTTTTTTTTTTTGTTCCCTCCACTTCTAATCTGTTAAGGTAGAATTTTCCCTAATCTTGGAGAGTTTAGTCACAGCAGTCAGTGATTAAATTATTGATCAGTACCCAGTTGACTACTCAGTGTGGATCTTCTATAAAACCAAAAAACAAACCCACTACCATCAAGTTGATTTTGACTCACGGTGACCTATGTAGGGTTTTCAAAGCTGTAACTCTTTATAAGAGAAGATAGGCTCATCTTCTCATATTAAGTGGCTACTGGTTTTGAACCACTAACCTTTAGTTAGTAATCCGTTTTGTTGTTTTTTAGTTAGTAATCCATTGCTTACCCTACAGCACTACCAGAGCTCTTCAGGGTTCTTCGTGCATCTCTTTTATTTCTAGTGCTCTGACCTTTGGTCTCAGATGACCTTGGTACTTCTGGACGTTGAACTTTATATGTTCAACTCAGGGAGTCTCCAAAGCTCCATCTCTGCTCCCATTACTGGGTAAAGTCCTGGAAATTCAGTGCAGCTGAATTCAGCTGCAGGAGGTAAAGGACTCACCTCCTTTGTTTCTTATCTCTCAAGGATAAATGTCCATCAACTTGATAATGGCGGCTTTATACCATTTTATCTGTTTTGGTTGGTTGTCATTTTTTGTTTTTGTTTATTTCAGACAAGATGGTAAATAAGGTCCCTATCACTCCATCAATACCAGAAGCAAAAGTCTGTTATTTCCATTTTAGCTGTTCCGAATATTTTGTTTTTTTGTTGCTAGGATCACTGTTAAGGAAACCAAAAGACTAGGGGGAAAATGATTACAGCTATAGAAAAATGAAATACTAGGAAATTACTGAAATAGGTAATAAATTCTCTCCTAAGGATGGACTTTTAATTAAAGAAACGTCCCATATATACTCGTGTTTAAGCCAAGTTTTTTAATGCAGTTTTTGTGGTAAAATTAGGTGCCTCAGCTGGTATTCAGGTTGGCTTATACTCGAGTATATATGGTATGTAAATGAGTGGAAGAAGAATTGTGAATTGTTATTCAGATTCCAGTTTGATGCTCATGTAAGTTGTTTATAATTTAGACCATTATTGGAGACAAGGATCTTTGATTTTTCTTTTCTTCCCATGTTCTGGCTTTTAAAAATCATCTAATGATTTCTTGATTGGATACTGTAAGTATCTATAATAGCAAGTTAGGCTATATAAATAGTTGTCATCTTTTGTTGTTAAATGCTGTCAAGTTTCTCTGACTCAGTGATGCTGTGTGTCCAGCAGAAGGAATCATTACCTAGTCCTCTACCGCCCTGAATTCCTATGTTTGAGTTTATTGCTGTGCCCACAGTAACAGTCATGCCACTGAGGGACTTCCTCCTTTCCACTGACCCTCTACTTTGCCAAGCTTGATGTCCTTCTTCAGGCATTGATCTCATTTGATAACGTGTCCAAAATTCATGACACTGTCGCGCCACCATGGCTTCTGAGGACCATTCTGGTTGTACTTCTTCTGAGACAAGTTTGTTTGTTCTTCTGGCAGTTTTGTGATATAGATCGTATTCTTCACCATAATTCAAAGACCTCAGTTCTTTATTACCAGCCATCCTTATTCAGTGTCCAGCTTCCACATGCACATCCCCTTAGTCCCCCCCAAATCACTGCCATTGAGTCGATGCCAACTCATAGTGGTCCTGCAGGACTACCCCTGTGGGTTTGAGACTAGTTGTTCACGGGAGTAGAAAGCCCTGACTTTCTCCCTCAGAGTAGCTGGTGGTTCCAAACTGCTGACCTTGTAGATCTATGCCCTATATGTAACCACTGCACTACAAAAGGCTCCTTCTCCACAAGCACCCAAGGCTATCAAAAATACTGTCTTGGGTCAGCCACACTTAGTTCTCAAAGTGACGTCTTTGCTTTTTAACACTTTATAGAGATCTTTTACAATATATTTGCCCAATATATTAGGTCACTTGAATTTCCTGACTACTGTCTCCATGGGTGGTGATCATATATTCATTTAGGGACAAAATAGCCTTTCAGAAAGGAAGCATGAAAACCAATAAAATCAAAGGAGGTATGAAATACAGTAATGAGGATTCTGGATTTATTAGATCTTTAATGTTTTGTCTGTATAAAGGGGCTTCAAAAATGAGTGCAAAAATGAAATAAAAGCGATTTGGATGTTCTCACAACCGTTTGAAGCTCCTCCACTGTGTCTTCAGATAACTTGGCTTCTCTTAACTTTCCGTTTGAGATTCTTTGTTATAGTTTCAGGAATATGAGCTTCTTGTTTCAGCATCTTCATTTCTGTAAGCTCACTTTTTCACAGGTTACTCTAAAAGATTAGTACCGTTTTCAGTGGATTCTGTTATTTCAGTGGATTTCTGAATAATATGAATGCATTTTTATAAAAATTTTAACAACTTTAGTTCTGAAGCAGTTCTTCGGAAGCAATTCTATAACCTGAGTTCTATGCTATCATATGGTTACTGATCTTAAAATGTTACTATATGTAATTATTCCAGACTTCACAACGATTTTCTTCAATTGATGAACAAGCAAAGCTTCATAAGACTATGTCTCAAGGAGAGATTACAAAGTTGACTGTGGGACAGAAGTCTTCAGATTCAGATATAAGGTATAATGTATAATCTAATTTTATTTCCTGATTAACTCTAATTAAGTACAAAGCCTTTCAAAAAGCAAAACGTAACAGCTAGGGAAGCTGCTTTGGAAATTAAAGTCATTTACCTATTTTCAACAAGTAAATCTTAAGTCCTTAGTATGAAATAGGCACAAATTCAAAATCTCTAATGAGCTCTATCTTTCTCTGTGGTTAATCGTGAGATAGGAGGATAACTCTAAATCACCTTATACCTTGTGATATTTTATATTAAAAGAAGAGAGGTCAAGTGAGACCAAAAACATTTCCAAATGTGAACTTAGATCGCATTTGAGTTAGGTGTCTTACAGAAACTAGAAAATATTTTTAGGGTTTAATTCTTAAGAAAGCATGTGGATTTATGTCTTTCTTTGTCAAATACATATCTTTGTTCCTTATGTTATACTATATAAGGTATTAACCTTCACTGAATAATTAAAGTTTACATCAAAGTCTACCCAGTTAATAACTCTTTTAAAGATCACTTTCTCAATAACTGTATAGGCATAAACTAGGGTAAACCAAATCCAAAGTGGATTATTGTAGAAATCATGCATTGAAAAATACGGCGTATCATAGTAGTGAACTCTTATAGTTGATGATACCAGATTGAACATATACATTGGACTTCTACTTCCTTTCCCCAAATTGCTAATATGACAAAACCTACAAAGATGAAGAAAACGAGAGAGGAGACAGAAGCAAGCAAATGAAGAATGCGCTCTCTTAATACTCAGGAAAAAGTTAAATTGCAAACCAAGTGAGGAAAGCTGAGTTGACTGACGAGCCCTCTTCCTGCCCTAGAAGTAAACAAACATCTGAACTTGGAGGTTGCCAGATGATAACTACACACTACACAGGAAAGATTGCAATAAGAAACCCCACCAATGTACAGTAGAGCTTCAAAGTACCTTTTTAAAAACCCTGTTTTTAACCATAAACATCAGTGATCACCACATACGTTTGGAAACATTTTATATAAAAGGAACCAAAACAAAGAGGTAAAATGAAACCTGGAGGAAATAAACTGTTCATTAGAAAGGGAAACAGCTTTAAGGCCTCTGAATTAGAACATAATTGTACACATTAAATCGAACTGCACGAAAGAGATGTATCCATGATAAAAAGAGCTTTTGAAAATAAGAAAATGTGATAATTTAAAAGAACACCTCAGAAAAAAATGTCTTAGTTATCCAGTGCTTCCACAGACAGACATAGCCCAAATGGATGGATTTAATAATCCGAAAATGATTTTCATGCAGTTGAGGTGGCCATAAATCAGAATTCAAGGTGCTTGCTTTAGCCTAAGATCCTCTTTCTCTGTTGGCTCTCTGGAGGAAGAAGGTGTTTGTCTCTGGAGTTCTGCTCTTGGGCAACCTTTAGATGCCTTGACATCTTTCTTCCCTCATCTCTACTTCTTGCTTCAGTGTTTAAGCTCTTTTATATCTCAGAAGAAATTGACTCAAGATATACCCTGCGGTAATTGTGCGTTATCAATATAACATAGCCCACTTTTCAATGGGGTTATAGCCATAGCTGTAGAGTTTAGGATATACAGCATACCTTTTGGGAGGGGCATAATTCTATCCACAACAGAAGGGTTAGAAGAAAACTTTGAGGATTTCTCTTAGAAATTGGATCGAGAAGATGAAGAGGTGAGAGGAAAGATAAGAAAATTAGAGGAGCAGTTCTGGATATCCAGTAACCCAGTGAGGAAACGGAGGAGAGCAAACGATCAGAAAACTAATTGAACATAACTGAAAGGTGTGAGTCTCCAGATTGCTGCGTGTTCAAGATAGTGGATGAAAATAGACCCATCCCTGACCCCCGCGCCCCCAGGTCTCTCTAAAACAAACAAGAGTGAAGGTATTTTGTCTGGTATGCTTGTGCAAGAAGCTCTTCAAATGACAGCTGCACAGCAAGTACTTAGAGAAAACATCCAGACTGAGGCAAGTCAGAAGGCTCTGGGAGAAGTTTCTTCAAGAAAATTAAACTGATGGAATACCTAGTATGTTTGTGTACACAGAGAGGAGATTGATACAAATGGAGAAACACTGATACGAGTTAGCAATAGAAGAGCGATCAAATGAAAAGCAAAACCAATTATTAACTCTGAGGCAGAGGGTTGATTTGCAGGAAAGAACATGTCTCAGTTGTGAATATTTGTATAAAAAATGTAAATAACTAAATGTTGACCTAACTAAAATTGTAGTATGCAGCATGTGCTGCATAATGTCCAATTAGGTGATGTCTGACTGTATGTTGATTTGTGGAGCAGGGAGGAAGGGCCGGATGTAGGCTGGTGTTGAGATTTTGGCACTGTGGTAGCTAGGGTGCAGTTCCGCTGCCTCCAGTAGCTGCCAAGGCTTGGCCGAAGCCTGAAGCCCCCAAGCTGAGCTTTAGTGGAAGTTCGACCACTGACCACTGCTGCTCACACGGGCTGTGCCCAGCCACCCCATAGGGGGGTACCTGCAGGAGACACGGCTGTAGCCACTCTGCCCTGGTTTTCAGTTTTGTTCAGGCTTTCTGGACACACTAGGCCAACTGAAGGTGCAAATTCTGTGGTACTGGTTGCTAACAAGAGGCAGAGTAGCTTGTACTGTGTTACTTTGATATATGTATATACAAATATATTTATTAATTACATGCCTGGAGTGCTGATGGGGGAAATAGATGTTTGTGGTAGGGTTAGAACAGGAGCAGTGGAACATGCTTGTTCATTAGCCATGGTCATGGTTATGATAGCAATGGTAGCATGTGAGCAATAAAAAAGAAGCAGTTGTTTTGTTCAAAAGAGTTGTCTCCAAAAGGATAGAAAATGGGTGGTGCTGGCGAAGGATGTTATTTGTAATAAAGAATAATTTGTAGAATATTTGTAGAATAATTGCTCTTTGTGTGAATGTGTTAAGCTTAATAATAAACTTAATAAAAAATGAAAAATAACATGAATTAATAATCAGATACTCCTGATTTTACCTTTCTTACACACACACACCCCCCACTAGAGGCCTGAGCTTCATTTTGTTCATGCGTAAAATAAGGATAATTTCATGGGAGTTGGGAACATTGAGACTCACATATGTAAGAGTTTGTGCCTAGTATCTGGTAGATGCTTATTTATCTTTTGATTGGCTGAATAAATGGACATACAAATAAATAGACGAAGAAGTTTCCTAGTGCAGGTGGTGGTGGTTAGCCGCCTTGAGTTGATTCTGACTCAGCGCGTCCTCATGTATGCAGAGTGAGCTAGCTACTCCATAGGCTTTTCAGGCCTATGTTCCAAGGACCCTCTGGGTGTGCTTGGACTGCCAAGCTTTGTCATTAGTAGTCCAACACGTAACCATGTGTGATACCCAAACACTCATAGCACACTTAGGATATATATCTTCAATAAATGCAAGCTGGTACTATTATCTCAAAGTGCATCCCTGATTTATATAAGGAAAGAGTCTATAATATGAATGAGGGAATGTAGCATAGTAAATGTAATTCTCACCCTGGTCATTTACTGACTGGGTAACCTTGAGAAAGTTACCTTCAGTTTGAGTCTCCAGATTCTCACATATGAAATGGTTATTAAAAAACTAACCCACCGCCAGTGAGTCAACTTTGACTCAAAGCAGCCCTTTAGCATTTCTGGGACTTTGTAAATCTGTCCACGAGCAAACCGTCTGCCTCTTGTTTCTCCTGCAACGTGGCTATAGTAGTTTATTCAAAATATGTCTGTTGTGATTAAGTAAGGTTATTTTATAGAAACTAAACAATGTACCTGGAGCAAGGTAAGAGCTCAGTGAATGGTAGCTGTTGTTAATAGTATTTGTAATATTAGTAATAATAATGAGTAATATTGATGTCTCATAAATATTATGACCTAATAACTTGTATGACATAATAGTGAGTATCTGCATAATGATTGCAATGTTATAAAATGTGCATATTTATGGATGAAGACTGGAGGAAAAATTTTAAAACGCAATTTTTTTAAAAGAGTTTTAAAATTATTAGTGATTTTTATAAAAATATTTTCTTTATACTGAATCCAAGCTGGCAGGGGGATGAGTAATGACAGTATTCAAAATGAGGAAGCTAGGTGCAATTTAAATGTGAGATTAAAGATTGCTTATGATTAAATTTAAATGTGAAGGTTTAGTGACCTAAAAATACATGGAGTATCTTCATAAAGCTTAACGCGGTAAACAAATACTATCTCTAGAAGATGCTGATTTACATTTTTATATTTATTTTTTAAACAGACCTCAGAGAGCTAAGATGAGATTCTGGGCCAAAGGCAAGCAAGGGGAGAAAAAAACAACCAGAATGAAGCCTACCCCTCACTCAGAGGTTTCCACACTTTTCCCTTGCTCGGATGTGCTTCCAGTGCCACAGTTTCCAGATGGTAAAGATGGGCAAAGGGAGGAGATTGGCTTCACAAATTCCTGTTAATCATTCCGAAAGTGCGCTGTTCCTCTAATATGTATAATGACCATCTTGTTGACTAGATATTTTAATAAGCTAGGGTCAAAAGTGACACCAAGCTCGCTGCCATTGAATCGCTTTCTGACTCGTCGTCATCCAATAGAACAGAGGTAACTGCTGCTCAGAGTGTCTGAGGCTGTAACTCTATCACAGTAGCTATCCGCATCCTTAAAGAGGGCTTAAGCTGGTGTGTTTGACCCACCCACTTGGCAGTTAGCCTCTTAGCATTTAACCCACTGGATTCTTAAATTCTTCTTAACAATTATATTGAAATCAAAGTTCTGTGGCACAAAATAGTGGAGCAGTCAAAATCCCAAGAATGATTATTAATCTGAGATTAGCTTTAGTTTTCTTTGCTACTATTAAATGGCCAATAATACCAGTAAGTTGAATGGGTAATACAAAATCTGTTCGGAAAAGTTGGAATTTCTCACTATGATAATACTAAGGAGATCAATTTTTTTTTAACTTCTGGGGGTGGGTTTTGGGCATCAATTTATGAAGTATTTAGTTGACAGTAATCATTCTCATTTTTTCATTTTCTACAATTACATTTTGCCACTGCCAATTCCCAATCAGCTAGTCAAGAACGACATTTACAGTTGTTCAGTTGAAACACATACAAGTAGACTTCACTGTAAGTTTGTTTCATTAAGGACACATGTATGCGATGAGGCTTTAGAAAGTGTGTGGAAAATGAAATGAAACGATACTGTAAGCTCCTCATGGTTTCTTATTTATATTTGGGCAGAGTTTTATTAAAGTAGTCTTTATTTTTAATAATTAAATAGGATTCTAGCCAATTTCTTTAATAACCATTAAACCTTTTCTTTTAAGAAAGATTGTGACTTTATTTTTTTAAAATAGTTTCTTCCAGTAATACTTTTTAGCCAAGGGATTTTGAGTGCTATATGCTATTCATTTCATTTTATAAAGCTCCAAAAATGCCCCCTCCAAAAGAATTTCTTATTGTGAATTAGTTAAAGGTTTACAGAGCACATTCGATGATTTCTGCACATTCTGATTCAACTCTCTCTCGCAGTGTCCTCACTGCACCACGGACTATTCTACTTCCTCCCTGGGTTTCCTGTTTCCACTCCTCCTCCTTGCCTAGCCCTCTGATCTTGGTCTTTGGGTAAATGCTGCCCTGTTGATCTTCAATGGTGGTTTATTCTAATGTGGAGGTGAGTTCAGTTTCAGAACTGAAGTTGTAAGGCCTGTAATTTCATGGTCCCACCAGTTTCATTCTGCCAGTAAGCCTGGTCTCTTGTGATTTTGTGACTTCTGTTCCACATTTTTCCTCAGTTTATCCTTGACCTTCTAATTGTGATCTTGATTAGAGCCATAGCTGGTCACCATCTGCTTTTTCTGGTCTCAGGGTTGTGGAGACTGGTGTTTAACATAGTCCATTAATCAATTTTTGGAGTAATAGTTTCCATATACCTTTTGATTTCCACCATTCCTTCCTTTGAACCAGAGAGGCCAATAGTTTATCTTAGATCGCTGCTCATGAACTTTTTTTTAAAATCATTTTATTGGAGGCTCATACAACTCTTATCACAATCCACATATACATCAATTGTGTAAAGCACATTTGTACATTCTTTGCCCTCATCATTCTCAAAACATTTGCTCTCCACTTAAGCCCCTGGCATCAGCTCCTCATTTTTTCATCTCCCTCCCTACTCTCCTCTCTCT